AATACTGATCAGTGCAGAACAGGAACTCAGCGCGTGCGAACTGGCCATGCTCGCTCGCTTCGTACAGGCTGGAGATCCGAAACACGGCCTCGCCCTGTGCGGCATCGGCGTCGTCGTAGCATGTGACTTGGATGAAGTCTCCTGCCCGCGCGGCGCGGCCCTCGCCCACAGCCGCCGCCGTGGCGCCCTCGCCGTCCGCCATGCGGCCTGCAGAGGCGAGCAGCTCTCAGCTCGCTCACGCGCCGACGTGCACCCTCGGTGCACTGAAAGTCCTCAGAGCAAGAAAGCTGCGAGATAAGATCGGCGATTACTGCGGGACCCCCGAGATACCCCAATGACCTGTAGTCATAAGTCTGATATACATAGAAACATACGTGAAACATGTAGGATTGTGCACACAGGAAGGGACAGTCTATAGAAACATACGTACGTCGTTCAAGGCGCCTCGGAAGGCGCAGGATACTCCTCCAAGGCGCGGAATCATATTCCCGGACCGCCTTCCAGGGACATGATGGGGACGACCTTCTGAGGGCCTCCAGTGGGCCTCTTGGGGGCCTCTCGGAGGCCTGTTGGGCTATCCTGGAGGCGTCTTGGGGCGCGCTCAGGGCCATTTTTGGGCATCTTGGGGGCCTCTGGGGGCCTCTTTGGGGCCTCTTGGGGCCTCGCGGGGCCCTCTTGGGGACCGCTGGGCTCGCTTAGGCAGTCTTGAAGCCCTGTCGGGGCTCTCCTGAAACCGTCTTGGGCGGCTCCTGGGCCATCATGGGGCTCTCCTGGGACGTCTTGGGACGATTTTGGGGGTCTCTTGGGCCGTCTTGGGGCGGTCTTGGGGGCCTCTTCGGCCGTCTTGGAGCGGTTTTGGGAAACTCTTGGACGACCTTGGAGCGTCGGAACTCTGAAAAAGCGAGGAGGCCGAAAACCTAGAAAAAACAATAAAAGTCAACGATTTTGGCTTGTCGGGGCTTTCTTGGGGGGCCTCTTGGGGTGCCTTCGGGGCCTCATGGAGCTCTCTTGGAACGTCTTCGGGCCTTCCTGGCCATTCCTGAGGCTATCAATGCGCGTCTTGGAGCGCTCGCGGGCCGTCTTGGGCGGTCTCGAACTGTTCCTGGCGGTCCCAGGGGCCCTCCGGGACGCTTCGGACGCTCCCGGAGGCGCCCTGCACCCCCCATGGAGATTACTGGCACCGCCCGGGGCCGCCCCCGGGCCCTACTCGAAATCTATTGCACCACCCCATTATCGCTGGACCCCTTTTTGGGTCGACCCGATAACCACGAACGAGGACCGTGCATCTCCCATCGTGCAACTCCAGCCGGCTCCCCTCAACGAACAGACAGAGCTTCGGATAGTTCAGAGCAGCGTCGATGAAAAGGCTGGCCGTCATGAGCTGAGGGTCGTCGGCATGCCCCGAGAGGCCAGCACGAGGGGGCACCGGCGCAGCAAGCCGCCGACGGACGGGGTCAATGAAGAGGGCGAACCAGAGCACCGATGCTGGACAACCCTTGCGCACCCCACGGACGACGGGAAAGGGCATGAGCGCGACGCCGCATAACTGAGGGAGGGACCTTGGGTAACTGGACGTGCCAGGACTAGCCGCGCATGCATTTCGAAACGAACATGGGCTACTCGCTGGGGAAAGCAGCTGTGGCATCAACGAAAAGATGAGCGGCTTCGCAACGGCTCTCCAGTTCATTTCGCGCTCGACAATGCAATCCAGGATCTGACGATTAGGGGAGCCCTCCCTCCTGTGGGTCTGGGAGCGACCACCTACTGACGCTTGTAAGAGGTGGGCCGTAGCAGAAACACCCCAGCCTACAATCGATACATCCCATGGAGAGCCGCCGAGTAGACGAGGGCTGCCGGGCAAGAGTGGCGGAGGCCTCTTATCGCCATTATTCCGAATCGCCCTCGGCATGTGGCCGTAATCGGTAATCGAGAAGGAGAGGAACGTCGGGGCGGCCAATGCAGCGCCGATGGAAAGCATGCAAGATATCATGGGGCACAGGGTGTTTCCAGCAACTGCGCAGGATACCGTCGATGCCTGGCATCGTGGCCAATAGCTTCAACGAGCTGAGCAAACTACTCTCGGTCCAGGGTCGAAGCGAGACCAGGGTTGAGAAGGCCTGCGAGCTAGGATGATCCCCAGAAGCCCCTCAGAAACTCTTCAGAAGCGCCGGGGGCATTGTCCGGGGGATGTATCAGCTTACCAGAGAGTCAATCAGTTCACCCAGGGACAAATCATGCCCCCTCGCCCAGGCCCGCGCAGTGTCATCGGCGGCTGGCTGTCGATCGCTTCGGCCCCCCCTGACGGCAGAAGCTCTCCAAACACAGAAGAGCCCGGGTCCCAAGGTACGAAAAGGAGGAGAACCATCGTGGAGACGAGGTCGGGGACTTTGTGGGCCCCGGAAACGGCAAGGCCGTTTTTTCACCGTTTCCCCCCCCAAAAAAGTCCCTTGAAAATGAAAACAGAAAAAAAAACGGCGACCGGACATTCAAAACAACGGCTCCAGGATTGGAACCGTAGCAGGAACCCGTCAAAAAACGGCGACGGAAACGGTAAAACAACGGCGTTGGAACCAGCAACAAAAACGGCAAAACGGAACCGGTAAAAAAACGGCCTTGTCGTTTCCAGGGCCCACTGAGGTCTGGGAGAAGTCGTAGCCACTGCAGGCCTGTGATCAGCGGATTGTTTGAGCCCGGCGGACATCTTGAACGCGGCGCCCCTGGCCATATAATCCGCCAGACCCGGCAGATAGCCATCAACTTAGACTCCAGCGATCGTAGGACCGTGGCAGCCACGATGGGTGTCTTGTGGCTGATAAGGCGCAGTCCAATCTCCGATCTGAGCATTCCACTCCCGAGGGAAAGAGGCTCCACCTCGAGCGATCGTGCAGTGATCGACCTGAAAGCGGCCCTCATCTCTGGAAAGAAATCCGAAACCACAAAGGGACAAGAGAGGTAGTGGCTGTCGCAGCCGATGCAAACGTCTACCTTGGGAAGATGGACAGCGATAGCCCCCAGCGTGCAAGAACCTTCCCGCACGAGATCGTGGAGCGCCTTCCCAGGGAAGATACTTCTCGGAGCAGAACCACGAAACGCACCCGCGAGCTTCTCCTGAATCCACACCAGAAATGCATGCCCAGAAATGCTACCAAGAATTGGAGACCAGGGTTGGAGTTCCCTGGGCCACCCTGGAACAAAAAAAAACGCCCCCCGCGATTTGTTTGTTGGGGGGGTCCAGGGCTCGGGGAGGGGAGGGGGGCTTAGGTGGTTTTGAAGGTTTTCTTGGAGGGGTACGGCCTCTCGGACCCCCCCCCAAAAAACCTCCTTCTCCTCCTCCTCCTCCTCCTCCTCCTCCTCCTCCTCCTCCTCCTCCTCCTTCCCCTAAACAAACGTTAGGGGGTAGGGGGGGTCCCCATATCGGGCTTCCAAAACGCAGAAGTTCGGAACACCCCAAAACTAAAACAATAGAAAAGGGTTGAGGAGGGGTTGGGGTGGTTTTCGCCCCCCACCCCCCACACCAGCCCTTTTAAAAGTTTTTGTTTGGGGACGGGCTAATGAGCTTCACCCCCCAATTTCCCCCAAACACAAGTCTCAATTGGACAATTCTTTGGGGAGGGGGGGATTGTCCCCCCCTAACTTCTTCAAAACCCCATTTAGGGGGGGTTCTTGGGGGGCTAGGGGGGGCGATTCCCCCCTGGACGCCTAAACAAATCGCCCCCGTGTTTCGTTTTTTGGGGGGAATGTACCCCCCCCCCCTCCCTCGCCTCCCCCGGGCCAAACTTCAAAACCGATTCAATGCGGCGGGGGGGATGGGGAGAGTCCGGAGGTTAAATCGTTTTTTCCCCGGACCTCCCATCCTTGAGGGAGGGTTAAAAGGAGGCCCGCCCCCCTCTGGATCCTCCCTGAGAAAAAGCCCTCAAAGTTTCTTTATGTTGTTTGAGAGATCGTAGTCTTGTTTCCCCTCAGACTCTTTTTAAACCACAACTCAGGATGGGTTTGGGGGCGGGGGTTAGGAGGGGAAACTCCCGACATGGTGGTTCCAGAAGGGTCATAGGGGGAAGATCTCCCCTCAGACTCCCCAAACCTACAGGGCTGTCGTTCGTACGTGTTAGCAACTTTCCCCCCCCAGACCCTCCCCAAAAAATCCTCTGAGGGAGTTGTCTTGAAAAGAACAGACAAGGTTACCGCCCCGGATTCCCCGAACTTGGATGGGGCTAGGAGGTTCTTATTTCTGGACCCCCCGAAACCTTCTTTGGGAAATGGTTCTGAAGGGTTAAGAAGGCTTCCCCCCGGAACCCCCCCCCGACAAAAGGACTTAGAGTTTTTGTTGTTGGCGTGGTGAGGTGGGTCCCACCCCTGGCCCCCAGCAAAAAACGCGCGTCTTTCTGTTATACTGAAGGCGGGAGGGGGGGTAGAAGCCGCCCCCCCGGGATTTCTTTCCAAACGCTCCTCAACGTGGGTGGAGGGTGCAGGATTTAGGTGGGGGGGTGGGGTAGGGGAGGTGCTTCCCCCGCCCCCCCCTGAGACCCTCTTTTAAGGAAGGTTCGATGGGTTGTCATGTCTGCCCCCCAACAAAGGCAACTACAAATGCTTCTTGCGGCGGTTGGCGGTGTTTCTTGCCAGGTTCCCCAAATCCAGAGATCCCCAAGACAGCCCTACAGCACCCCGTGAAGCCCCCTAAGAAGGCACACTAAGGTCCACAAGACCGCCCCGAGACGGCCCAAGAGCGCCCTGCGACGGCCCCAAGACATCCCCGAGACTGTCCTAGCGCCAGTTTCCTCAGTATCGTACGCACTCACGACCACCAGCTTCCCACCAACCAGGCGCTTTCTGAAGGTGGTGATTCCACGCCAGGGGGGGGGGGGCCTAGCGCCGACACAAGAACTCTGCGCGGACCTCCGCAGGTTCATGCTATGTGGTTCCTTGCTTTGAGTGACGCCGACGACGAGGACAGGAGAAGGAAGGGGAACGATCCGCTCGGTGACAGCACTGGAGGAAGGCACCGAGTTTTCAGCTCCGTGTTGGTCTCGTGTTCGAGGTGGATATCCTTCGGCGGGGCGGGCGCCTGCGGCGGGGGAGAAGCGCTGCCGGCGACGGCGGCCGACGCGAAGAGCAGCGGAACCTGCCGGCCACTGCCGCAACTGCGGACCACCGCCGCCGCACCCGCACCACAAATCGCGGCGGAGCGTTTCTGACAATATTGAGCCTTCAGGGCCCCCCACCGGACCCTCCACTGGGCCCCCCACCACCAGGCCCCCCACCAGGCCCTGGGAAGTCAGGAGCCGACTCAGGGTGAACAGCTGGGGACTCAGGGTCCACGCTGTCAGACAGGACGACGTCGGAATCCTGGGAAGTTGCATGACTTTTCCAGAAATCCCATCAGCCCTCTGGGCGCAGGTGGTCTAGGGAGGCTCCTCTTCCAACCCCTTCTTCCTTCGGGGAAGGGTTTATCGCTGTTTCCTATTTCTATACACACCCCCTCTCCCAGGCGACCGGCAGCCAACCAGGAACCATGAGGACACGAGGCGAACCCCCCCCCACAGTCCCTGACAAAAACAATACAAACCGCACTCTGCCTCCACATCTGGAGCATGCGCGGCCAACCTGATGCGGCCCCCTACCATCCCTGTCAAAAGCAATGCAAAGTACACTTCGGGGCAAAGTCTTGAGTCATGTTCGTGAGGCCCGCGAGCACTTCGCATTGTTTTTAACAGGGGCGGCGGGGGTGTCAGCATATTCCCTGCTTTGCGCAGGGCTACCATCCCTGACACATATAGCAATACAACATGCACCTCGCGGCTAAATCTGGATAATGCGCGGCCGCGCCGCCATCACTGCCAAGTGGTTTTTGACATGGATGGCGGGGGTGGTGGCGCATGGCCAGCTGTGCGCAGGCCCAACAAACACAATGATGGGCATGGGTTTTCGACAAGGATGGCGGGAGCCGACATGTTTCCCGATGTGTGGTGTCACGTGCGCAGGCGCACATGACACCCTCCGCACGTGCCCCGGACGCGGCGCACCTGGCGCGGCTGGAGTATGCGGCTCACTTGGCGCACTCGGAGCGCGTGGCGCATCTGGCGCACCAGGCGTGCCTGGCACGCTCGGGCCCCAGGGGTGCCTGGCGCGCGTGGCACGCCTGGAACGCGTGGCGTACGTCGCCCCGGCGTCGCGCACATGGGGCCGGCTTTGGTTCCCAGTAGCTGCCCATCCAAGGACGACCGCTGAAAATGCTCTGGCTCGGGTGTTACTTTTAGTGTTGGGAGGGCGGGTGGGAGTGAACCAGACGGCTTGCTATCTAAGAAGGTGTCTTGATCACTGTTCCTCATTAAAATACACCCCCTCCCCCACCCGGCCGGCGGCCAACCCGGAACTATGCCGACTCCATGCGCGCCCTCCCCCCTCCCAGTCAACGAAACAATACAAACCGCACTCCGCCTCCACATAGCATGCGCGGCCAGCCCTGATGCGCCCCCCCCCACCATCCCTATCAAGCAAACAGTGGGTCTTCAGGCGTGTGAAATAGTTCCCCCCCCATAACCCCCCCCCCCAGGGACCCTAAACCGGAGATTTGACCCCCCCCCCGGCCCCGGGGCACCCACCGCCGAACGCGCCACGGGGGAGCAGAAGGTCCCTAAACGGGCCCAAAGCGCACAAACGGGCCCACGCGACGGTCCAAGAAGGCCCCAAAAGGCTTCCACGACGGCCCACGAGGGCCCCGAGACGCCAAACGAGCGCTCCCAGACGCCCAAAATGACCCAAAGACAGGCTAAGAGGCCTCCTAGACGGCCCAAGAGGTCCCCACGAGGCCCCAAGAGGCCTCCAAGATGCGTCCCAAGAGGGTCCCTAAACGCAAAAAATTGCCCATCCCCTCAGTAAAACGTGCAATGTTCATAAAATCGCCTTCTGGGCTTTCCGATGCTCCCAAACGGCCCAAGGGGCCCCCAAGACCGCCCGAAAACAGCCCAAGAAGCCCCCAGGAGGGCCCCAAGATAGCCCAAGAGGGCCCCAAGACGGCCCAACAGGCGTCCAAGACGGCCCAAGAGGGCCCCGAAGACGGCCTCAAAAGCGTTCCAGGAGCGCTCCAAGTGGCCTCCAAGAGAGCTCAACATGGTCCCACACGGTCCAAGAGCGGTCAAAGACACCGAGGATGGCCTCCAGAAGGCCTAAGATGCCCCCAAGAGGCCCCAAGAGGCATCCAAGACGGGCCTCTAGACGCAAACATTTGCCCGTTCCCTTCTTAAAACGTGCGTTTTCCACAAAATCGCCTTGTGGGCTTTCCGACGCTCCCAGACGGCCCAAGAAGCCCCCAAGACCGCCCCACGACGGTCCAAAAAACCTCCAAGAGGGCCCCAAGACAGCCCAAGAGGGCGCCAAGACGGCTAAAGGGGCACCGAAGCGGCCCAAGAGAGCCCCGAAGACGGCCCCGCGAGCGCTCCAGAAGCGCTCCAAGTTGCTTCCAAGAGAGCTCAACATGGCCCCACACGGTCCAAGAGCGATCGAAGACACCCGAGATGGCCTCCAGATGGCCCAAGACGCCTCCAAGAGGCCTCCAAGATGCGTCCCAAGAGGGTCCCTAGACGCAACAGTTTGCTCATTTCCTTTTGTAAAACGTGCAATGTTCACAAATTCGCCTCGTGGGCTTTCCGACGCTCCAAGACGGCCCAAGAGAGCCCCGAAGACCGCCCCAAGACGGCCCAAGAGGCCCCAGAGACGGCCCAACGACGGCCCAAGATGGCCCCACGACGGCCCAAAAGGCCCCCAAGACGGCCCAAGAAGGGTCCAAGACGGCACCAAGAGGGGCCCAAGAGGGCAACCAAAATTTAAAAACAAATCGGTCGTTCCGCCCCCACGAGCCCCAGGGGGGCCCAAGAGTGCCCCAAGAGGCCGCCAGAGGCCCCCTAGAGGCCGCCAAGACGCCCCAAGGAGCCCTCAAGAGGCCCCCAGGAGGCCCTCAAAAGACCCCCAGACGCTTCCGTATTGCGAGCCGTCAAGCCAGCTGCAATGCACTCCGCGCATACAGCCTTATTCTTCCTCGTGACGTGCTTACTATCTTGCTCGGCGCTAATGTGCTGCTGCCGCGCGAACTGTTTCGTGCGCGCTGCGAACGTCAACAGCCTCTTCACCCGTTTCGACTCATCTGCCACATCATTCGCGGTGTTGTCTCGCTGATCACAGCTTCCGCACACTACTCTTGCTCCTTTCGTCTTCCAGTGATCCTCCACTTTGGTTGCGGGTCGAAAGGCCGACCTCCCAGAAGAACACCCCGCACCCGGGTGCACAGCACGCAAGGCGCTCGCAAAACACGCCCCAGTCAACCGGCATCACGCAAACATTTGGATACCCTACGTATCTGCCACCACCCGCGCGCGACACCGCACCGTCACACAAGACGCCGCTGGCCAGACACTCCTGGCCTCGCAACACTCACAGAAAAGGGGTCGGCGGATGTGGCGTAAGCCTGTAAAATCTTGAATTATGTTCGTGAGGCCCGCGAGCATTGCGCATTGTTCTTGACAGGGGCGGCGGGGGTGTCAGCATATTCCCTGCTTTTTTTGGCGCAGGGCTACCATCCCTGACACAAAAGCAATACAACATGCACCTCGCGGCTAAATCTGGATCGTTCGCGGCCGCCCCGCGATCACTGTCAAGTGGTCTTTGACAGGGACGGCGGGGGTGGTGGCGCGTGGCCTGCTGTGCACAGGCCCAACAAACACAACGATGGGCATTATAGTTTTCGACAAGGATGGCGGGGGGCGACATGCTCACCGATGTGTGCTGTCACGTGCGCGTGCGCACCCGACGCACTTTGCACGTGCCCCGAACGTGGCGCACCTGGCGCGGCTGGAGTATGCGGCTCACTTGGCGCTCGGAGCACGTGGCGCATCTGGCGCACCAGGCGTACCTGGCACGCTCGGGCCCCAGGGGTGCCTGGCGCGCGTTGCGCCCCTGGAGCGCGTGGCGCACCTCGTCCCAGCGTCGCGCACATGGGGTCGGTTTTGGTTCCCAGTAGCTGCCCATCCAAAGACGACCGCTGAAAATGCTCAGGCTCGGGTGTTACTTATGTGTTGGAGGGGCGGGTGGGAGTGAGCCAGACGTCTTGCGGGCGGGTGGGTGGCATTGACCCCTCCCCCTAACCCCTCCCCTGGACCTGAAGGGGAGCCCCCCGCAAACGGTCAGAGCATTTCAGATGGCCCTAGACGGCTTCAAGAGGGCTTCAGAGAGCCCAAGATGACTTCCAAGACTGCTCAAGATAGCCCAAAATGGTTCAATATGGCTCCCAAGATGCTCCAAGAAGCCCCAAGTCCGCTCCAAAACGGCTCCAAGTGGCCACGGAGCCTTCCCAGGAGGCCGCCAAGAAGCCAAAATCCGCCGACCCTGTCGGCGTGTGTGGGGTGTCTGTCCGGTCCCGTCGACGGCGGTCCCGTCGACGGGGAGCCTTCTTTCGCCCTCTCCTTCCCATCCCATCCTCCTCTCCTGTCGGGGGAGAGAGAGAGAAAGAGAGAGAGAGAGAGAGAGCACCCTTCCTCGTTCGGGGAACTGGTTCGCAGCTTGAGGGAATTCCATCCACGTCCTCATTATCAAAGGGAAGCCCCTTCTCTTTGTCCCTTCGTTGGCGGGGAAGGGGGTCCCGGGGGGGGGTCATATTCGCATCGGCTCTGGGGGTCCTCCTCTCACCCTCCTCCCCCTCCCCTCCCCTCTCCCACGCCGGTCCTCCTCTGGTCCTCCTCCCCAGGGAGGGGGGCCCAGGGGGGAGTCCTTTTCCTTCTCCTCCTCCTCCTCCTCCTCCTCCTCCTCCTCTTTATCTCCGCCTCCTCCTCCTCCTCCTACTCCTCCTCCTCCTCATCCTCCTCGTCCTCCTCGTCCTCCTCCTCCTCCTCCTCCTCCTCCTCCTCCTCCCCCTCCGGATCGTCGTCGATGTCTTTCAGGGTTGGCGGCGCCAGTCGCCAGGCCTTCACAATCCTTGAACAACCCAGGAACAATCAATGAATTTTGTTCTCTCCCCTTTTTGCTTTCGATGGACTTCCGAGGCCTCAAGATGGCTTCAAGATGGCCCAAGAAGGCCTCAAGAGAGGCCCAAGAGACCCAAGACGGCCCAAAGAGAACCCAAGACTGCCCTAACATCGCCCCAGAAAGGGCCCATGAGGCGATTCGCGGGGCTCCCAAGGGGGGGGCTCCCCCCCCTTTTTTGGTCGATCTCCTCCAGGATGGCCCGAAGAGGTGCCCAGGAAGCCCCAAGAGGCGCCCAAGAGGCCTCCGAGAAGCTCTCAAGAGGGCCTCACGAGGCTCCCCGAGGCACCCAAGACGCTCCCAAAAACCTCTGGGACTGCCACGAGACCCCCAAGGCGCCCCAAGAAACCCCCAAGCTCGCCATTGTCATCCCCCTCCTCCTCCTCCTCCTCCTCCTCCTCCTCCTCCTCCTCCTCCTCCTCCTCCTCCTCCCCTCCTCCTTCTCCTCCTCCTATTCCTTCTCCTCCTCCACCTCCTCATTTTCCTCCTCCTATCCCTCCTCCTCTACATCCGCCTATTTCTCTCCCTTCCTCCTCCCTCCTCCCCCTCCCTCACCTCCTCCTCCTCCACTTTATGTTCCTCCTTCTCCTCCTCCTTCTCCGCCTCCTCCTCCCCCTCGTCCTTCTCCCCGCCGGTCCTCATTCGGCAGTTACGCGAAGGCGCATGCGGTTCGCTCCTAGGTCTGCGCCTGCTGATCCAAGACTTCAGTTTGACGGCTTCCCCAGCTCTTGTTCCACTGCATACTCCTCCGCTTCCCTGATCAAGGCAGCTCGCCTGGACATCGTCTCTGGATGGGCTGGTGGGGATATTGTTTTTGGCTGGCGGCTCCGAGGCGAAGGTCAGGAAGCGGTGCATCGAACGGGGCGCAGAAAGAAGATAATTAGCCGAAGAGGCGCGCGCACGTGCAAGGGACAAAATGACCCAAATTAAGCACCGAAAACCGACGCCGACGTCCCGGCGGGTGGGACGCGCCACGTCGCAACGTGCGGCGGCAACTGCGGCCAGCGTGGAGGAGTCGCACCAGCGGGTGGGGACGCCACGTTGCAGCGAGCGGCGGCAACGGCTGTACGGCGAGGCCATGTGTACTGTAGCAGCGGGGAGAAGTCGCCCTGTCGGCGCCAATCTCCGGCCGACCGACACACGGAAGCGAGGCCGAGAGGGGGGGAAGAGAGCCGCTGCGGACGTCAGACGAGGCACACAGCGTCAGAAAGAGAAGGAAAGGCGGCACAGCGAGCGGCCTCACTCACCATGGCTCACTGTCGCAGAACTCGGCTAAAGCCCGCCCTTGCACATGAGAGGGAAGGCGACCCAGTCAGCGAACACGAGGTATCGCCACCTCCAGCCTGTGGCCAGTGCGTACACAACGTATCCGACTCACGCGGTTCGGGGGCACAACGTTGCAAGCGCTGACAGAAGCAGGTGCGACTCGGGTCTGCTCGGGGAACGGCCATGAACAGCAGAAGGATGAACCACTCGTGCAGGGCCACTCCCTGGTGAGGCCCGTCGTCAGGTAACACCAGATGTGAGGTTAGCGAACACGCCTTTCTCCACCTTTTACGAAGCCAGAGCTACGTCCTTATGGTAGCGCCATGACCGGGTCAACGTAGATCAAGGCGATACGTACGCAGGTGGGGGGTGGCACTGCCTGCCGCTGAGCGCGGTGTCAACGAGGAAGGGCTGACCCCAGTCCACTGCAGCATCACGACAGCGTGCGCAGGCTGGCAGCTGGTGGGGATACGCGAAGAGTCAAGAATTGCTGCCTGGAGACCGCCAGGGACACCCCCATTGGAGGCACTGAAGGGAAATGCGGGCCAAGAATTGCCGAGAATCACAGCGAGACCCCCGTTCCTGCTGCTGGGTCAGCGCTGAGAGGCCAAAGTGCCTTTGTCCACATCAGCTCCCTGACAACAGCCTCTCAAGACGCGCAGGTCGGGCAATTGGGGACTAGCAGTGAGCATCTCGGGTTTGCCAGAGCGCACGGAAGTACTTTCCAGGAAGCGTCCTGAGGGCGCCCGAAGGTACCGATCAGGACGATTCCTAGGCTGGCTGGACACCCGAGGGCTCCTGACGGTGCGCATCTTTGCGGCTGCGGATCAATCGCCTCTGCGACTGGGCACAACAGAGTCGCGTGCCCAGAACAAGAAGGAGAGAAATGCGCAGACTGACACCCGCCAGACCAGGGGTGCTCCGCCCCTCCGCTTCCCCTGTCCGGCGCCAAGGGAGGGAGGGACTCCCTCGGAACGGTCAGAGCGTTCTCGAGGGAGCTTCTTAGGCCTCGCTTGCCCTTCGCCTTTGGGGCGGGCCCGGCAGAACTCAGAGGTAAACGGTGAGGCCTCCGAGGGAGGGAGGTTATGTGGAGGCCTCCCCTGTCGAACCAGAGTTCACCGCTGGTGCTCATTACCCAGAAAGGCTCCATTGGGGCAACAAACAAATATGCAGGCTGCACCAGCTCTCATCAGTTCCATGGGGATGGTCCAACATTACGAACCGATAGTACGAACAGGTGCAAGCGTATCAGACGTGGTGCTGCTGAGGCCAGCACCGCGCAGGCCACAGCCGGACTAAACTAAGAGGCTGCGAGGGTTAACACCAAGAGATGAGATCAACAAATAGTATCAAGCCGCGTTTGCATCGGGGATGCAACTGTGTGATCGGACGAGCGTGATGATAGCAGCAGCCACCCATCCGCCATCTGAAAATTCTGAACGACGCAGTTGTCACCGCGACGCCTCCCGATGCTTTGGGTTTTGGGGGAAGGCAAGTGGCTCGAAGGCTATGGCCCATGAGAGCTCCCCTCCTCATTCTCCCCCTCCGTCTCCTCTTGCTCCTCCGCTGCCTGCTTGTTCCTCCTGGGCCTCATCCCTTCTTCTCTAGGATGAGGAGGAGGAGGAGGAGGAGGAGGAGGAGGAGGAGGAGGAGGAGGAGGAGGAGGAGAAGAAGGAATGGTAAGGATAAGGACTCCTTCTCCAACCCCTCTTCTTCCTCCTCCTCCCGCCGGGCGCAGCCCCAGAGATCGGGGGGAGAGACAGGCCGAGGGCACAGGGGAGCGAGGCAGCCGGCGCGCCAGCTCCCTCGCCAAGCCGGTGACTGGGCGCTCGCACTCCAGCCGAACCCAACCCTCCTCCTCCTCGTTCTCCTCCTCCTACGACTCCTCATCCTCCTCTTCCTCCTCCTCCTCCTCCTCCTCCTCCTCTTCCTCCCCCTCCTCCTGGTGAGGGGGGGGGGCGACGGGGGGAGACTGCCTCAGAGGGGAGGGTTCAGTGCTTTGGAATCGGCGATGCGCCGCCGGTGGGCGGGAAATGGGCCCTCGACAGAGAAGCCGCGGCTTGGGCACCCATGACCCGATTGGCGTCAAGGGGCGATTGTCGGCTACAGGCAAGAGTGACCCTAGGCAAGAGAGACCTTTGGTGCGCGGCATACGGGTTAGGTCGGGCGTGTCCCCCTACAGGTGGATTATGGACGACAAGATAGAAATAGCCCCAAAATATTCAAATGGTCAAAATACTGAAAAATCATCCCCAGACTATTTTTTCACTACTTTTTGATTAGTCCTCCAGCAGAGGGACAGGCCCGACTTAACATTAGGGAATACACGTGCGCAGGCCGCTGATATCGCACAGCATCCAGTGGTCGGGACACCCTAATGGGCCCGCACCAGAGGCCACTCCGGCGGAGGGCCACTCGTATACGTGCAATCGAGATTGGGGGCCGATGTCTCCCCCCCCCCCCGTTGGTCCGTTCCCCCCCCCCCCCCTGTCGGCGCCCCTGACCTCCCCAGGAGCCTCCTGGAACCAGATGCCGCTGCGCTCGAGGCCCCTCCACATGGGCTCGTACCGCCTCAAGAGAGGGGCGACACCCCCCCCCCACGCTAAACCAAGGCCGCGTCTCAGGGCCCGCGCTCTTCTGATGGGCTTGTTTTCAACCGCCACCACCACCATACGATGGATGGGGCAGGGGGTCCTCCTCCAGCTCCCCCTCCTCTTCCTCATCCTTCTCCTCCGCCTCCTCCTTCTCCTCCTCCCCAACCTCCTTCCCCCTCCAACTTTTGGTGGTGTCGGTGGAAAACAAGCCCATCATCTTCTGATACCTCCAGCGGCCGATGGGTCACATACAATACAAGGCCGATTCCGGAAATCCGGGACCCAAAAACAGTGCCATCTTTGGGGGGCACATATTCTAAACGCATGCCGCGGATAATGAAGGTGACCCCCCCTCTTCACCCCCTCTTTATGATTACCGACGGCGTGTAGGTGGGTCGAAATCACCCTCAACATTGGCATCGTCGCTCTGATCTTCATCGCATGCATGGCACCATGAGTACTCAGTGGTTATCAATGTCGCGTGGATGCATCAAGCGAAACGCAATTATCAAAATATCTCAACATTGCTACCTCATGGGGAACATGTTATCCCCCCAAGGCCCCAAACTTTATTATAGCCCAGGTGCGATTCGCACTTACATAGGGTTACATCCGCCGCCATCCGCCAGCCTTCCGCAGATATAGGGTGGCAACTCCTTCGATCATCGAAGACCAGGCCCCTTTTTTTTCAGGATTGCCTCGCATGAAGCACGGATTACAAAACTTAGTATTGAACCGAGATGCGAGTATTCCACTGAGCTGGCGTCTTGAACTTTACAATGTATCTTCCATACATCCGACAACGGTTCCCAGTTCCAACTGTGGCGCCATACGCGGTTCAGCGGAACGGCCACTCACGGTACATTTCCGTATATAAATTCCATGCCGAAGCGCGCACATTATTCGCACTTCTTGTCTTAAACGGTCTCTGCTGCAAGTTATATGGTGGTGCCATTGATGTTACATGTTGTTTTTTGGTTGTTCTGCCCACCTTATTTTTGATTTTATCTACCTGCTCAACCCGCCCTCCTCCTCCTCCTCCTCCTCCTCCCCAAAATCCTCCTCGTCTTCGTCGTGTTCATCTCCATCTCCAAACAGTTCCCCAGAGAGGCTAGGACAAATAAGGCGATGGAGGCTTCGTAGTGCGAATTCTGCCGTCCCTGAGGTCGATAGGTGGTGACAAGTGATATTCTCCCCACCATGCTCTTCCTCAGCTTCCTGTGAGCAAATTCCCTGAGCAAAACACATCCCAATCCTTACCTCGGAGCCACTTTGGTTATGTCGCCGCGAGCTTCCCCGGCGGACTTCCAGCGCCACACGGGCCGCCAGAGCGAACAATGGTCTGCGCCAGTGCGATGGCTTTGGCCTTCGCGTCATCATCGACGGCGAACCCATGGACGGCATCTGCACCACCACGGGCTGGGTTGGCCCGCAAATCGTGGAGCGTCTAGATCCGGCGGAAAAGGACCGGGTCGATGAAACGCAACAAATACCCGCACCCTTGCCCAGGCGGTGTGGCAAAGGGCAGCGACGCGCCGCAGCCGACGGCGGCTGCGCAAGTGCAGATGCGACGGCCCATGGGACATCACAGGAAGCTGTCTTCTGTCGGCATCCGCTGGAACCGAAGGCGCGCGCGTTTCAATCGGCAGAGTAGCCGACCACGCATTGGCCGCCCTCGGGCTACAATACCTCATTCAGAAGTGCGCCAACGAAGGCGCACAATCAAGCGTTTGGGGCTCGACGCAAAAAATGCGTCCTGGGTGTCCTGGGCGGGCGCCGCTGCAGTCCTGCGCTCGCCCCAAGCGCCTGGGGCCCCGAACGCCAGGCGCGGTCGCCAGGGGCTGTTCCCTGGAGAACCCGCCTGGCGTCACCCCAGCTAGGTCCGGGTACGTGTCGGGGGGCACAGTCGCCGACGCGCGTTGATGGTACCCCTGGACACGTACCCGTACCTAGTCGAGGTGGCGTTTGGTCGAGATCGCTCTCGGGCGCACGCGCGGCCCCCGAGAGCGCCCCCGAACGCCGCCGCAGCGGCCCCCAGGGGAGCGTGAGATTGCAACGACGCTCCTGCGGGCAAGCTCAAACGCAACTGACTGGTGGTGCCTGTCCCCAAATGGGACAGGCACCACCAGTCCAATGCTGTTGCAAACCCGGCGGACACCCCCGGTGCCCCCAGACGTCCATGACGCAAACCAGGGCATGTCGCTGCAATTCAACAGCCAGCCGCTCAGCGTGTCGTTGCGCCCTGACGCGCGGATGCTGAAACAGCGCGCACGCGGCAGGCTGATGGGGCGCATTGGCAAGCGCCCAATCTAGCGGACGGCCCTTTTCACCCAGGCCGACCCTGGGTAAGGGTACGTTTAGGGCCAATGAGGGTCTACGAGATCGCCAAGAGCATCGAGCAGGACAACATCGACGGCCACAACAATTGGCAGACCATCCACGGCTACGACGGTCTGCAGCAGGCCAACCGCAGGCAATCGACGGCAATCCTCAGTCCAGTGCCAAAACTAATGCTGGAAATGCGTCGAAGGCTGAATTTAAGCAGCTTGTCCAGTGCTTCGGTTTCAACCCAAACAGGTGAAGCCTTTTGTGTGATGCGCGCCACGTCCAAGGGAACATCGGGGCTTCAAGTGACAGCTACCATAACAGAAGTGTAAGAGCACTCCCATGTCCCATGTCGCAAAGACGCAGGAGAGCACGCGCCGACCACGTCCCGAGGGCGGCACCAAACCGAAAAGTATCCCACGCGGCGCCACCACATCTGAAACTCAGATTAAAACGATCTGAAACTCAGACCGGGCCAGTCCGAATTTCAGGCCGGGCCAATCTGAGTTTCAGACCGAGCCAATATGATTACTTTCATGTGCAGGAGTCTCAGGCAGAGCCTCGCCCCAGTCCCCGGGGGGGGATCTAAATTTCACACAGGGGCAATCAGAATTTCTGACAGAGGCAATCTGAATTTCAGATGTGGGCGGCGCCGCCCCAAACAAAAATGAAGCATGATTTCCCTCCGCGATCAACCTGGAGCGAGGGAAATGCACTATCCCGCCGTGCCCGTGACAGCGCACCGACATGCAACTCACACGAGATCGACAATCGCGCGCGCGTGAGCATCGACGGCGAGTGCGCCAACGCGTCTGCGCAACATAGGAAAAGCCCACACACCAGAACCCATGTCAATAATTTGATCTGGGGGGTGTCTGGTGATCATGAGATAATGAATCGGTGATTCGCACTGGCTGGAAACATAACTTGTTACTGCTTGGTGTACACATTACACCGGTGCATGTCAACCAGCCGGCATGGATTTTTCAAAGTGGAAAAGCATGTTGAAAGCCGACTGGATGCTTCCAAAAGGACGAGGGGGGTCAGACCTTTACACTTCCTTTGAAGCGCACAATGTTGAACAAAACTCTGCGATGCGTCAGGCAAGCGCGCTCTTAATTTATGCTTGGATGCGAAAGCTTGCGACGAGCGCGTTGTTCGATCTGTCCCAATGAACTTGCACGAGGGTTTGATTGCACATCGTGCTGGGCGGCAGCGGGCATATGGCACGCAACTGGAGATTCGATAACTTTATGCGTGCTTCCACGTCGCAGGCCAATTTGTGCAAGACGAATGAGTTCTCGACATGTTCGTTGCCGAGGGTCTCAACTTGAGAATGAAGCAAGTTCTTGAGGCCACTAGTAACACAGAGGTTTGTCGCATGATCTCTGTTGCCTACGAACTGGAAGACCTACTGGCTCAAGGGGAAAACCATTTTACTAATGGTGTTGCTGGTGCCATAACATCCTTGCCTGACTATCCTGCCGACGCAGTCGCCAGGGGCGTTTGTTTGGATCCCAAAAAGATCGATGTCAATAACATTGCGTTTGCTGGTCACCGTGTCACCGTGGTCATGGGGTGTGACATTGAACAGGGACCGAATATTGTGATTGTGAGGTCGATGCAAACTTTGGGTCGCATGACCCGTTCGGGTTTTAGGTATAAGCGTTCGCGCTCACTGGGGCCAAGTTTAGTCAACTGGGTAGTCGAATCAACTGCCTGGCACATGCATGGCAGAAACGAGTTCACAGGACTTCGCCAGAGACCTTGCCCCACACCACTCTTCCCCTCCGCTCTCGTACCCGCCATCCCCCTCTTTCGTCCTTCACCCGCCCCCAAATGTCCTGAAAGGTCTTCCGCTGAAGATTGCTGGCTGAAAGCAAACATCAACACTTCACCAAACCATGGACTTACTTACGTTCAGAAATAATCATGACACCCCGATACGCGTCACCGAACCTGCCTACACACACCGACACACACACATTATATATACGGATATGCGATATGCGGTACCAAACTGAGTAATGCATCATACCACAAATCGACGCGTTGGAAGTGAAGTGCTACTGTTTCAATAGAACAGCGCCTTTCCACATAGGACAAGCCACTTAGCCTTGAAATCGCTCGCTTTAGCCATCCTCTCCGCCTCCCTGTGTCGGTTCACTCGCATGTCTAAGCGTCGTCTCCGCTGTCGCAGCCGCATTGCCGGAACCTGCTACGCAGCCCGACAGCTCAGCCCGTCACCCAGCCCGTCGCCCAAACTGACCCGACGGCGAAGCCCGTCGCCCAGTCCAGAGCCCTGCCTGAGCGGGGGCGATGGTCCACGCGCAGGCCATGCACATGACCGTGGGCGACGAACCCACGCCGATGATGCTGGTGAACGCGTTCCCTACCTGAAATTCAATGACTGGGCTTCCTTGTGCGCGGAGAAGATCGGCACGCAACCCTGGCCCCAATTTGCAGTTGTGTCGAATGTCAAACAGAATATAAAAGCTTTGTACAGCTACTACGCCGACGCAGGCGGTCGCATTGCTCGTTAGAGACAAGTAAGATAAGGTTAACTACGAAACCGACTACGGTAAACAAAAACACGACACCGACTTCCCTGCGGGTTACCTGGCAAGCTTTGCGGCGAGCCCCGAGGAGGGCTCCAAAGACGTCAACCGCGGCGACGCAAACCACGGTGGCGAGACACTCGGCAATGCCGATCTCAGCTGCCCCAACACGCACCACGCAACACGTAGCGTGCTGACGCGGAGCTCAGCACGTGAGCTGAACACGCAAGTCTGGCACGACACGGTCGCCCAGACGTGGACCGGCACGTGCCGAGCCAACGCGCAGCGTGTGAACACGGACGTTTCGAACACGGTGCGTGTTGCGTTTCGAAACGGGTGTACCAGGGCAGCTAAGGCTCCAATGCGAGCACGTGGACGGAATGCGGTGCGCCCACCTCGACGGCGTGACGGCGCCTAGTCCGACGATCCGTGCACGGCCCGCGCCCAGCACGACGGCAAACACCTACCCCGCGGCCCAGCCCGACGGGCCCTTTCCACGCTGAGTGGACACATTTCACCTCATCCTGAACTCATCCTCTTCAGCGGGGCCCCAACATGTACACCACCACCAAGCGGCCATAGGAAAGAACAAAATCCTGCGCGCGACCGCCCTAACAGGGGTGCCACTGCCAGCCCCCACCAAGCGCAAGTACTTGCCGCATGGTCATGCGCGCAGATGGCGGCCGCATTCGGTCGCGAAAAGCTGTTCCCAAGCAACCTATGGCAGCACGGTGGTGTATAAAAGCGATGTACACCACCCAGAAATAGACACCACGTGAATGTGTTGTCTTTTGCGCATGCACCCGCGTGCCCAAAATGACGCTGCACACGCGACACGTCACCACCGCGAGATTTGACACACCCTGCAACCCACCGCCGAAGCGCCCGCGGTGGTGATGTCTGTGCGTGGGCCCCGGATATTCGTGCCACTCCTGGCGAACGCCTTCCTGCCGTGAGTGCCCTCCCTCCTTCTCCCGGGCTCTGCGACCGCCCACGGCCCCCTTTCGCACCTCTGGTAGCTGGCCAGATCCTTCGCTCACCCGCTCCCGGCCAAGTCTAGCGCGCGTGCGGACCGCCTCTGCCGCGCTGCGGCAAAAGAGACTCAGCCTCCCCATCCTCCTCCAATGTGGCCCTCACGTGACCGCACCCACTCGGGCCTTGTGGACCTGCTCCCCTATCTGGTCACGAAGCGTCTGAGGGGTGTGCCGAACTCGCTGGGGAACGGCATGTGGACGCACCCACCGGGGCACGTGCGAGGGGTGTGCCGAAATTTGGCCTGCGGATGTCAGAAACAAAGAGGGAGGATGCATCAGCTGGGCAGGAGAAGGCGGGACGCTGCGACTGTGCAATCACTCAATCCTCCTCCTCCTCCTCCTCCTCCTCCTCCTCCTGCTCCTCCTCCTATGCCCCTTCCACCAACCCCTCCGTCCCTCCGCCCACGAACCAGCGGTGCTCCGCTCGAGCGGTTTTCCACTGACGCAAACCTGATGTTGCCACAGACCCCGACCTTGCTTGGAGGACAAGTGGGCGTGACTTGCGAGGAAATGGGAACAAAGAAGAGGCTGCCTAACACAGGGTGCATGGTGCTGATGTTCGTGCTGTCCGTTTGACGCTGTGCCGCTTTAAGGCGTATCATGCTGGTTCCCGTGTTGTCCGTTTGATGCTTTGCCACTTTGTCGGGGCGTCTCCGACCATCTTGGAGCCATGTTGGGCAGTCTGAGGACCCTGGGGCGTCTCCGACTATCTCGGGGCCTCTTATGCAGGCTTGGGGCCCTCTTAGGGGCCTCTGGGGGCTTCCTGGCGACCTCTTGGAGGCTTCTTGGGGCCTCCCCTCGTGGGGTCTCCTGGAGGGTTTTTTGGGCGAGAAGCTGGAAATGCTGGTCCGTGCTTCCTCTCTGGGGCCCCTCTTGGGGCGATGCTGGAGCCTTCTTGGGCCGTCTTGGAGGCCTCTTGGGCCGTCTTGGGGGCCTCTTGGGCCGTGCGGGCGCCCTCTTGGGGCCCTCTTCTGCCATCTTGGGGCGACCTTTGGGGCCTCTTGAGGCCGTCTGGAAGCTTCGGGAAGCTGGAACAGTGGGAACGCGAAAAAAAAAAACAAAAACCTTCGGGAATGTGATGAAGTTTGCCTTTCCGGGCCTTCTTGGAGGCCTTCCTGGAAGCCTCTTGAAGGCGTCTTGTAACATCTTGAGACCTTTTTGGGCGCCTTGGACCGATCTTTCCGCGACTCGAGGCCCCCTTGGACCATCTTGCGGACCATCTTGGGGCCGTCCGTGCCGCCCAGAAACGCGTCTGCCGAAATGGGGCCGACAACGGCAATCTTCCGCCAACTTCCGCTGGCATTCCGCCCGTGGCCGGGGCCAAGTCCTGGGGGGTCCCCCCCAGACCCCCCCGGGGCAACACTAAATGGGAACCCCTTTGCAAGGTCGGGGACAAATCAACACACATGCGACACATCATGCAATTACAAGAGCTACAGAGTTACATGATCTCCATCAGTTGCATGAGTTCCAGGCTGCTCAACCACAACAAGATAGCGATGTTTCCTTTTAAGTGGGTGATGCATGACATCGCACATGCCAGCAACGTGCATTCGTGAATGCCTGCGCCGCACTGCAACTAAACAACACTGAGTACTAACCACCTTGTGCGACATTGACTGGGGATCTGTGCTGCTCAACTACACGTGGCTTCGCTCACGTTGCTCAAATGTCGTTGGATGTATCGGCGTCCGTCGACCGAGAGCCCGATCCACTGACCATGCCGATGGATCGACGGACTGCCGATCCGCAATCGAGCCGATGAGCCAGGCAGACGGAGGGGGAGGAGCAGGCAGGAGACGAGGGCAGGTCCGGCAGGGACGAGGAGGACCGGCCTGCCAGCGGATCGGCGATGCGAGGTCTGGCCCCGCTCGAGCTCGCCCTCTGAGGGTGCCGCACGGGGGCGCGCACGCGCTGGTCGGCAGACGCACCCGATCAATCGATAGATCGGCGCTCCGACCAACCTCGGGAGCGGCCAAGAGGGGGGTGTCCAAGAGGGGGGGGTGCAAATCATGACCGGCGGCATGTGCGCGGCCCAGCGGGGGGGCCAGGGACGTAATGAAACAAGAAGAGGCGCCATGAAATCTGGGGAGATATCATGGCCCCCGCCATGGTATCCCCCCCCCCCCTAGTCATCCCCCCCCCCTTTTCCGCCCCCGACAACCCCGCCCGATCGACCAAGCAGGGTCGCCCTCTAAGCGTGCCGCAGCGGAGGGCGCACGCGGTGATCGGGCCGCTGCGCCCTGATGTACGGCTCCGGGACGCGGCAGATGCACGACTGCAGGTCCGCCTCCACGGCGGCGATGCGCTCCCGCTCCGCCTGCACAGCCGGACGCCAAAATCAGGTGCTCGCAAATAGTGCGCTCGAGAAAGGGCCCTCCCTCTCGAAGGGGGACCTGTGTCACTCCGCGGGCGCGCGCTGGGAGCTTGTGGAGGATGGCAGAAGCAGAGCCGGGGTGGTGTCGCGGGCGGAAGCCAGTCAAAGCTCGGCGGAGTCCGGCGGAACTGGGGTCTGATGCCCCAAGGGGGCAGCGCCAGCGCATCCAAAGTTTCCAGAGTCGGCCGAGTAGGCGTGGACGGGCTGGGCTCAATGCAAATAAGACTTGCCTCAAGAAACAACACTGCTGCAAACATGTGAAACGACAGGCCCAGCTGTATGCATTGGTGAGTATCGCAGCTGTGGGTATTGCCTTCGATCGATCTCTTTATGGGGCCACAAAGCGCGGGGCGAGGGCGCATGCAGGCGCAGCCATCGGAGCCAACCTTCGGCGGCGCTACATGTGAGGCCACAAAACGTGCGATGGGGTGTGCCGAAACCGAGCGGGGCCGCCATGCGAACGTCGCAACTGGGGATTTCGGTGGAGCTGCCTACAAGGCCACGAAACGCGTGAGGGGTGTGCCACGGAATTAACGGGGGGACGCATGGGGTGTGCCCACAATGGCGGGGGCGAACCATGTTGTCACAGCCAGTGGGGCCTTCGGTGGAAATGCTAATGGAGCCACGGAACGCAATACTGGGTGGCGCGGGGCGCATGTGGTCACAGCAAATGGAGCGTTCGGTGGAGCTCCCTATGGGGCCACGAAACACCGTACTAGGTGGCGCGAGACGCATGTGGTCACAGCCACTGGGGCCTTCGGTGGAGGTCCCTATGGGGCCACGAAGCGCCGTACTGCGTCGGGCGGGACGCATGTGGTCAGAAGCAATGGGGCGTTCGGTGGAGTCCCCTATGGGGCTCCGAAACGCCGTACTGGGTGGCGCGGGACTCTTGTCGTCACAAGCGCATGGGCATTCGGTGGAAGTCCTTTTGGGGCCACGGAGCGCCGTACTGGGTGGCGCGGGACGCATGTGGTCACAGCCACTGGGGCGTTCGGTGGACTTCCCTATGGGGCCACGGAGCGCCGTACTGGTTCGCGCGGGACGCATGTGGTCACAGCCACTGGGGCCTTCGATGGGGCTCCCTGTGGGGCCGCGAAACGCCGTACTGGGTGGCGCGGGATGCATGTGGGCACAACCACAGGGGCCTTCGGTGGAGGTCCCTATGTGGCCGCGAAACGCCGTACTGGGTCGCGCGGGGCGCATGTGGTCACAACCAATGGGGCCTTCGGTGGAGGTCCCTATGGGGCCCCGAAACGCCGTACTGGGCGGGGCGCATGTGGTCACAGCCAGCGGGGGCTTTCGGTGGAAGTCCCTATGGGGCCACGAGGCGCCGCACTGGGTGGCGCGGGGCGCATGTGGTCACAACCAATGGGGCCTTCGGTGGAGGTCCCTATGGGGCCCCGAAACGCCGTACTGGGCGGGGCGCATGTGGTCACAGCCAGCGGGGGCTTTCGGTGGAAGTCCCTATGGGACCACGAGGCGCCGCACTGGGTGGCGCGGGGCGCATGTGGTTCCAGCCAATGTGGCGTCCGGTGGAGCTCCGTATGGGGCCACGAAGCGCCGTACTGGGTGGCGCGGGGCGCATGTGGTCACAGCCAGCGGTGGCCTTCGGTGGAGGTCCCTATGGGGCCACGAGGCGCCGCACTGGGTGGCGCGGGGAACATGTGGTCACAGCACATGGGGCGTTCGGTGGAGCTCCCTATGGGGCTACGAAGCGCCGTACTGGGAGGCGCGGGGCGCATGTGGTCACAGCCAGCGGAGGCCTTCGGTGGAGGTCCCTTGTGGTGCCACGGAGCGTCGTACTGGGTGGGGCGGGGCGCATGTGGTCACAGCCAGCGGAGGCCTTCGGTGGAGGTCCCTATGGGGCCACGAAGCGCCGTACTGGGTGGCGCGGGGCGCATGCGGTCACAACCACATGGGCATTCGGTGGAGCTCCCGATGGAGCAAAGGAGCGCCGTACTGGGTGGCGTGGGACGCATGTGATCACAGCCGCTGGGGCCTTCGGTGGAGGTCCCTATGGTGCCACGAAACGCCGTACTGGGTGGGGCGGGGCGCATGTGGTCACAGCGACTGGGGCCTTCGTTGTGGGTCCTCATGGGGCCACGGAGCGCCGTACTGGGTGGCGCGGGACGCATGTGGGCACAACCACTGGGGCCTTTGGTTGATATCTTTATGGGGCCACGAGGCGCCGCACTGGGTGGCGCGGGACGCATGTGGTGGTCACAGCCCCTGGAGCCTTCGGTGTGGGTCCCTATGGAGCCACGGAACGCCGTAATGGGCGGCGCGGGACGCATGTGGGCACAACCACATGGGCATTCGGTGGAGGTCCCTATGGGGCCACGAGGGGCCGCACTGGGTGGCGCGGGGCGCATGTGGTCACAGCCGCATGGGCGCTCGGTGGAGCTCCCTATGGGTCCAGTACTGGGTGGCGCGGGGCGCATGTGGTCACAGCCACTGGGGCCTTCGGTGGAGGTCCCTATAGGGGCCACGAAGGGCCGTACTGGGTGGCGTGGGACGCATGCGGGGCCACGAAGCGTGTGTGGGGTGTGCTCAGGACGGGGAGGAGGGGCGAGGAGGAGAAGGGCAGCGAGGCGCCCCCCCTTCTTCTTGTTTGTTTTTGTTATCTCATTATCTCTTTCTCTCTCTCTCTCTCTCTCTTCCAACCGAGGACCCATGAACCTTAGGAGGAGGAGGTGGAGGAGGGGGAGGGGGAGGAGGCAAGCTATGTGCTCTCGCGTCATATCTGACGTCCTACCCCTCCCTCCCATCCCTTACCATGGCGCTGATTGTTTCTATCCGCGGACGCGTGTCGTAGCGGAACTGCGGCTCCGCGCGCGCGTGCGTAGTGGGTGGTGGTGCGCGTGCGTGCGTGCGTGTGTGCGTGGTTGTGGTTGTGGTTGTGGTTGTGGTTGTGGTGGTGGTGGTGGTGGTGGTGGTGGTGGTGGTGGTGGTGGTGGTGGTGGTGTGTATGTGCGTGTGCGCGTGCGCTGTGGTGTGACGTGGTGTGGCGTCTTGGTGGTTTGGTGGTGGGCCAGGTGCGTGCGTGCGTGATGGCGGTGGTGGTGGTGGTGGCGGCGGTGGTGGTGTCTGTGTGTGGGCGTGTGTGTGTGTGTGTGGTTGTGTGTGTGTGCGTGCGTGCGTGCGTGCGTGCGTGCGTGCGTGTGTGTCTGTGTGCGCGCGCGTGTGATGTGGTGTGACGCGGTGTAGCGTGGTGGTGGTGGGTGGGGTAGTGGGGTGGTGGTGGCGGTGTGCGGTGGTGGTGCGCGTGCGTCCGTGCGTGCGTTGGTGGGTGGAAGTGGCGGTGGGCGGGGCGGGGCGCGGTGCGGTGGTGGCGGGCGGATGGGCGCGCGAGAAAGAGGCCCGCGCTGGGGCGAGAACGCCATCCTGAACGAAGGAGGCACAACACCGATCCGAAAATGAGGCCCACGCTGCAGCGGGAGCACGATTCGGAACGAGCGGAAGCCCGAAAATGAGGCCGGCGCCTCAGCGAGAGCAGCATTTAGAAAAAAAAAAAAGCGAAAACCCAACTCCGGGAAATCCTCTGTGTAAAAAACAATACGCGGAGGGGTGCCCGCTATCTTCCGCACGCCATCAGGGGATGGAGGAGAGCGCATTCAGATTGAATAATTGTAGATGGAGGAGGAGGAGGAGGAGGAGGAGGAGGAGGAGGAGGAGGAGGAGGAGGACTGGTCGCCCAAGCCCTTCGGACACATCCTCCACGGCGAGCCGCGCCGGAACTCCCCGGACAGGGTCGGCCCCCGCGCGGCGCCCCAGCCCGGGTCGGCTGGAGGGGACCGGCGGACCCCCGCTTGCGGTAGGTGGGCCGTGTCCCCCTACAGGCGGGTCCTGGACGGAAATCCGCCGATCCGGCGTGTGAGTTTCTGAGAGCGTGGACTTGTGCTCGCTCAAGCTTCGCTCTGGAGGGGGGGGGGGGGGCACGTTATTTCCGACGTCATTTCCGACGTTTTTCGGTACCCGGGAACAGGGGGGTATAGAAAACTCGCTCTCACCCCCCCTGGATGGGCGGCACTGGCCGGAGGCCAGCCCAATAGAAGGAGAACAAGAACACACATAGAAATAAACTTTTGGCGCTCCGCGCGGATTTCTTGGATCCGCGCTGGGACCGCCCCCCTGGCGCGCTGAGCGCGCCAGGGGCGGCGCCGGAGGCGCCGCCGGGGGCTTCCAGCGCGGATCCGTTTAATGTGGTTATGTGGTTCCATCTTCGTCGAGAATAAAAGACCGAACCCGCGCGGAGCGCCAAATATTCATGTTTATGTGGTTTCATCTTCGTCGAGAATAAAAGACTGGTCCATAGAAATACCCAAACAACATTCAATACTACTCAAAGAGTCGTCCCCAGACTATTTGCTTACTCTCTTGGAATATCCCTCCTGTAGAGGGACGTGCCCGGCTTAGCGTGGGCGCTGACCTTCGAGACGTGAGCCCCGAGGCTGCGCACAGCCGTATTTTCCGCTGGGCGCCCTGCAAATCAGGGCTGGACCTGAACGTTGCTGTTCGCTTTGTCTTCGTTCTGTTGTTCGTTTTGCTCTACCCATTTTCCTGTACCTCCCTCCCAAAGCGACAATCAAAACACAGCCCAAGTCCAGCACAACAGCGTTTAGGTCCAGCCCTGGTATGACCAACGAACAGGTCGAGCGGACATCCAAATCGGACAGGGTCGATCAAGCAATCGAACATAGATCAGTGGCACCCCCGCAGCGCGGGCACCTGTGAACAACTGGTTGAACCAAGAGCGTTGGCCGAGTCGAGCCTGGTGGCCCCAGAGTGAGGGGACGCGAGTCAGAGGACAAGGCGGTCGACAGGCGAACGCAGCCCAACAAGGGAATGGACCGAGAGTGAAAGGGGACCATGACCTTGCCGCCGGCAAGTGGCCGACACACAAGCACCTGAGGCTATGAAACGCGCTCTCAGAAACACTCCCTCCAGATGCTCAGTACAGTCGGGGGCTTGACCTAAGGAACCCCAAATAAGGAACGAGGCCCCTTTTTCCCATGAGTTAAACTTCGATTTCCCATCGAACGCCCCAGGAAAACCTGAGGCAAGCTGTGAAACACTTAAGGAACGCGGAGCCCCTCCCGAACCAAAAGGGTTCCTTCTTCAGGGCCCCGACTGTACTGAGGAACACATTCTCGAGAACAATCCACACATCTAGTTGGAAACGAGACGGCCAGCGGAAGCGCCGGCCTGCTCTCTGCGAGCTCTCCGCGTAGCTACAGCGTTTGCAAACATGCCCGGAAGTCCTCACGGATTTCTCTGGTCGGCGCTGCACACCCCGTCCGCACCCCTTCTCCAGAGCGCGGAGGTGCCAGCGAAGCCGATAGGTGTGGCGGGGAGGTGCCGACCCAAGAAATCCGCATGGACCTATGATTAAGTTGGGCATGTCCTCCTACAGGGGGATGTTCGACGAAAAATCAAGACTAGTCAAACACATTCAAGAATTGTCAAAAAATACTGAAGCGTCCCCAGACTATTGTTTGACTATTCCGCCTGTAGAGGGACACGCCCGACTTAAACTACGAGAGATCATGTTCAAGCAACTGTTTGAGTATTCGGGGCCATGCGAGCTCCTCGCGTAATCCAGCCTCGTCGCGAGACGAGGGGCTAGCTGGTGCCTGGCTCCCCCCCACCGCGCACCCCGCGTCCGAGGTCTGGGGCGAAGTGGAGGAGGGACGAGGGGGACCGCCCTCCGAGAAAGAGGCTGCGACGCGAAGGTTTCAGGATCCCGCTGGTTCTCGGGCCACCAAGCGGGCCTCCGGCGGCTGGTCGGGACAATCCAGGCGACGCCGGAGCGCCCTCGGCGAGGCGCAGCTGCTGGAAGGTACCTCGAGGCTGGAACGCCGCCGAGAGCAGACGGAGTGCCAGAAAACCTACAACTTCGAACCTCGAGCCCCGAGAGAAGGGATATGATGATGAACAGGGTGTCTGAGTCCCCCCTTCCCGCGCGCCTATTCGGAGGTCTGGGGTGGGGGCAATGAGGAGGGAGAGGAGAAGGAAGATGAGGAGGAGGAGGAGGCAAAAGAGGAGAAGGGAGAGGAGGAGAAGACAAGGGAGATGAAGAGGGTGAGGAGGAGGATGAGGAGAAGGAGGGATAGGGGAAGGACGGAAAGCTAGGTGCTCTCTCGCCAGTTGTCATATCTGACATCGTGCCCCTCCCTCTCATCCCTTCCCATTGCGCTGATTTGTTCGCTATCCGCGGACGCGTGTCATAGCGGACCTGGACCTCCCAACAAAATTCCATCCTTTTGTGCGCAATCGGACAAGGGCAGCTGCGTACATAATTAGGAGGGGGGGGGAGGAGAAGGAGGTGGCGGATGAGCAGGGGGACGAGCAGGAGGAAAAGGAAGAGGATGAGGAAAGAGGAGAACGAGGACGAGAACGAATAGCAGCAGCGGGAACTGGAGCGGACGGAGCGGGAGGAAGCAGGAGGACCACGGGAATGCGGAAGACACAAGGAGGGAGGCGACAACTTTTCGGAAGGACTCGCGTCAAAAAAAATGTCCGCGATTGGGCGAGAACGTCATTCTGACTGACGGTGGGAAACGCCGATCCGAACATGGTGCCCACGCTGCAGCGGGAAGCCTACTGGAGCACAGAAAAACCGGATGGTGAAGCACCATGAGAAATATCACCTTTGCCCAATCGCGTGCGCGAGGAAAGCAGTACGAAGAGAGAGAGAATCGGCTATCTTCCAGACGGAATCAATGGAGAGAGGAGGAAACGGAGGATGATGATGAGGAGGAGGATGGGGAGACGGTGAGGAAAAAGGAGAGATGGAGGTCAGGCCAGGTAATCCTCGAAGGCTTCTCGGTGAGAGGACAACAGGTGGGGTGAAGCACCATGGTTTCAGCCCAAACGAAACTCAAACCTAAACGGTCTTGAGGACACCGAAGGGCAGATGGCCCAGGACACCAGAGAGGGTCCTGAAGAAGCAGAGACAGTACCTGTGAGGGTTCAGAGAACACGAAGCCCTCCCCCCAACTCCTCTAGTTTGCATCCTCGGCCTACAGGCACGTGGAGGAAGGAGAGGAGGACGGTGTATGGCTGCCCCCCCCCTTCGCGCACGCAGGTGGAGGAGGAAGGAGAGGAGGACGATGCCTGGCTCCCCCCCTTCGCGAACCCAGCGACGGACCTCTGGGGCCGGCTACCGGCCGAGGCCGGCTGCCTCAACACGAAGACTCGAGGCGCTTCGGGCGCAGAAGGCTCGAGCCGACGTCCCCCTCCCCCTCCTCCAACTCCGTCTCCAGCTACTCCTCCTCTTCCTCCTCCTCCTCCTCCTTCTTCTCTCTTCCTCTCTCTTCCTCCCTCCCCCCTCCTCCATCCTCCCTCCTCCTCCCTCCTCCTCCCTCCTCCTCCTCCTCCTCCTCCTCCTCCTCCTCCTCCTCCTCCTCCTCCTCTCCTCCTTCTCCTTCTTCCTTCTCCCTCCGCCCACCTCCTCCATCCTCCTCCCTCTTACTCCCTCCTCCCCTGCTCCTCCCTCCTCCTCCCTCCACCTCCCTCCTCCCTCCTCTCCCTCCTCCTCCAACTCCTCTCCTCCTCCTCCTCCTCCTCCAACTCCTCCTCCTCCTCCTCCTCCTCCTCCTCCCTCCTCCTCCTCCTCCTCCTCCTCCTCCTCCTCCTCCTCCTCCTCCTCCTCCTGCTCACTCCTCCTCCCTCCTCCTTCTCCCTCTTCCTCCTCCCTCCGCCCTCCGGCCGCCTCCGAGGGCGGATCTGGCACGATGCGGATGTCGACCATGGCGTCCAGCTTGCTGACGAGGGCAGGCTGCGCGGCGCCGAGGCGTGCGTTGACCACGCCGTCCAGCGGGGGCGGCAGCAAGCCGAACCGCGGCCCGCGCGCCCCCGCGTCGCCGAGGCCGCCCGCCCGGGGGGCCTCCGGCAGACGGGCGTCCTTCGGGAACTGATGATGCTGCTGATGATGATGCTGATGCTGATGCTGATGCTGATGCTGATGATGATGATGATGATGATGATGATGATGATGATGATGATGATGCTGATTATGGTGGTGATGATGATACAAATGAGGATGGATACATCACCATAATCATCACCACCACCATCATCGTCACCATCACCATCACCATCATCACCACCATCACCACCACAATCACCATCATCATCACCATAACCATAACCATCACCATCACCATCATCATCATTAGCCGCATCATCATCATCATCATCAGCATCATCATAATCATCATCATCATCTTCATCATCATCATCAGCATCATAATCAGCATCATCATCATCAGCATCATCTTCATCATCATCTTCATCATCATCATCATCAGCATCAGCATCATCAGCATCATCATAAGCATCATCATAAGCATCATCATCATCATCATCAACAACAACATCTTCATCATTGTCATCATGATCATCAGTATCATCATCGGGAGGCTGCACCATCGAGCACGCGGCTTTGCAACCCTCCCCAGAAACAAACGCTGGTTTCGAACGGTGACCGACGCGTGAGCACGCGGCTTTACAAGTCCTCCCCGGAATCACACGCTGGTTTCGAATGGTGACCGACGTGCGAGACGCGCGGCTTTACAGCCCTCCCCGAAATCAAACGCTGGTTTCTAATGTTGATCGGCGCGCGAGACGCGCGGGGTCTTGGGGCGCCGCCACGTCGCGGGACAAACTGGCGTTTAATTTCAAGGAGGGATGTAGGACGTAGGACGGAGTCGGGACACAATCGGGTCGGGACACATCGAGAATCCCTGGAGATCCGGCGGTTCCGAAGGATGCCTCGGTCGCCGCGGCCTTCTCAGAGCGGTCCCGAGCGCTCTGAGAGCGTTCCAGAATGGTCTGGAACGGTCGATCTCGACTCTGGACCCGATGCAGGCTTTCCGAGATCTACAGAGCCGACCTCCTGACCTCATTATGCGGGGTCCTCCCCCCGACTGCCTCCTGCTTCCGCCTCCCTGCCCCGCATCCCTCTCGCGCCTGACTCTGCGTCGCCCCCCTCCCCTCTCGGTTGTGAGCGAATGGCAGTGTGGTGTGCTTTCCTCTCGGACACATGCTACTAGGCTTAGGCCTGGCGTGTCCTCCTACAGGGGGGGTTTGGACGAAATATAAAAATACTCCCAAAAATGAAAAAACAATAAAAAAAACGGTCGAAAATGGTAGAACAATCGTCCCCAAACTATTTTTTGACTATTTTTGAATACCCCCCTGTACAGGGACCCGACTAAATTAGGAGACCGATTTCTGACCACACCCACTTCTCGAGGTGCCTTGCGAAAAGCGGTTTCCAGAGGTGGAGGTGGGCAGTTTCCCCGCCCCAGGGGAAGGAAACACTACCCACTTCCACCCCCGAGGGCCTATCATAGAATCGAGGATCCAGAGGTGGATGTGGTCAGAAATGGGTCCTCGATAAATACTGGGCCTCCCTCCGGTCCTTGGCGGCCGTCAAGGGCGGGGCGAGCATCGGAGGGACCATCCGCACGGCGGCCAGCCCCTCCTCCCCGACGAGGCTGGAGTAGCCGGGCCCCGAGGGCGCCGCGGCGTCGTAGCCTCGCTGGCGCCACATCCACTCCGCACTGCTCGCCTCGCGGTGCGCAGCCTCTTCTTGCTGCAGTGGCACGTCTGGGGCCGGGTCCTGGCAGCGCGCCGTGATGGAGGGGCTCTTCTTCCTCCTCCTCCTCCTCCTCTTCCTCCTCCTCCTCCTCTTCCTCTTCCTCTTCCCCTTCCTCTTCCTCTTCCTCCTCCTCCTCCTCCTCCTCCTCCTCCAACTCCTTCTCTTCCTCTTTCTATCATTATTCCTCCTCCTCCTCCTCCTCCTGCTCACTCCTCCTCCCTCCTCCTACTCCTCCCCCTCCCCCTCCCCCTCCTCCTCCCCTCCTCCTCGCTCGCGGCTCGGAGAGGTCGCTCCGACGCTGGGATCCAAGGTACGCGGCGCGGCGGTCGGGATCTCGCAGGCAGGAGCATCGCCGGCGCCACAAGACAAACCGTCCGTGGCTATCCCGGCTGGTGGAAAGACCTGCCATCGCTGGGACGTCCATTTCCCGTGCATTTTTCAGTTTCGTGCGTGTTTTCTTGCGGGATGGTCCAGGGGCCCGTGATCGCGTCCGAACTCACTGCGAACTGCTGCCGTCCCCATAGGCGTTTCGTGCGATCTGCACAAGGGGTGCACGCAAGACAAATGCAAACAGTCCTGCCAGAGCGGCTCGGCCCGGTCGAATGTGCTAACGCACTCCTTGCCCTGGCCCCTGCACATGGTGATCCTTTTTGGACTCATCGGGATCGGCGAACAGTGGGGCGTCCAAGAGGGGGGGCAAATCATGGCCAGCGGCATGTGCGCGGCCCGGGGGGGGGGGGCCAGGGACGTAATGAAATAAGAAGAGGCGCCATGACATCTGGGGAGATACTACGGTCCCCGCCATGATATCCACCCCCCCTAGTCATCACCCCCCTCTGGGCCGCCTCCGATTGTTGGACTCGATTTAGATTCTGGTTTTCTGCGGGGCAACGGCCTGAACATCTTCACAAGCCGCGCCCCGTCATGATGCCTGGGGAAGTGCCTAGGCAGCCTCTCTGGAGGCCTGACACGTCAAGACGGTAAGAACGGCGACAACTTCGTGAACATGGAATTGTCTTCGAGGCGAAGTGGTGGGACATCGCCATCGTGAACCGGGCCTGGCGAACAACTAATGATGCATTGGTCAGTCGCATCGCTGACCAATGCGGATTTGTGTTGCTGGCACCCTCTTGCTCATCGTGCCCCCTTTGCTCCCAACATACGCAGCGCCTGGAAGACCTCCGCTGTATGATCTCAGCTGCCCCGATCCGCAGCACGCAGCACGACAAGTCTTGACGTGGAGCTCAACACGTAGAGTGAAAGCGTAGGTCTGACGCGATACTTTCGCCAAAACGTGGGCCACCTCGTGCTGCGCCACCGCGCAGCGTGTTGAACCCGGACGTTTTCGAACACGAAACGTCATGCGGCTCAACACGGGCGTGCCAGGGTAGCTATGCTCATGGTATGGAACAGCAGCGGCAACACTGCGGATAAACGAGCCGTAACAGGCAGGGTGCAGGATTAAATGATGCCTTTGCTGCCCCGGTACGCAACACGCAACATGTAGCGTATCTATACGGCGATCAACACGCAGACTGCAACCGCACGTCCGACGCGATACGTTCGCAAAGACGCGGGCCAATACCAAGGACGCGCTGACAGCGATGTTGCTGAACGGTGGTGTGGGAACTAAACTGTACGAAATCACGAGCCACACGTTCCTACATCTCCAGCATGCGAACGTACGAACGAAAACGACACAGCGAACTGCAGGAATGCACCAGCCACGCGTTCCCACAACACCGATACCTGCATCGCCGTTGCCTACATCGCCGTTCGCGTGTCTACGGCAAGACGCTGAGCCAACACGCAACGTAACTGACACTGACGTTCTGAGCACGGCACGGAAGAGGAGGAGCACGAGGAGGAGGAAGGAGGAGGAGGAGGGAATTCCTCAGTGTCCCCTGCGTGACGACAACCTTGAGGGGGAGAGGGAGAAGGGAGGAGAAGGAGCAGGAGCCGGAGGAGGAGGAGGAGGAGAAGCAGGAGGAGGCGGAGGAGGAGGAGAAGCAGGAGGAGGAGGAGGAGCAGGAGGAGGAGGAGGAGGAGCAGGAGGAGGATGAGGAGGAGGAGGAGGAGGACGACCCTCTGTCCGCTTCGCTCCCCTGCCCGTCTTCAGCCAGGACGCGTCGTCTTGCCGGGCGTCCGGCTCCAGCTCCCCTCCATCATCCACGCCCGACCCATCCCCTCCCACATCACATCTGTCGCTCCCTCGCTCCTCCTCCTCCTCCTCCTGCTGCTCCTCCTCCTCCTGCTGCTCCTCATGCTCCTCCTGCTCCTCCTGCTCCTCCTCCTCCCTCTCCTGCTGCTCCTCCTCTGCTCCTCCTCCTCCTCCACCTCCTCCGGCTCCTGCTCCTGCTCCTGGTTCTCCTCCTCCTCCCCCTCCTCCTCCTCCTCCTGCTCCTCCTCCTTCTCCTCCTCCTCCTTCTCCTCTCTCCTCCCAATCGTTCGGGCGGCTATTCCCCAGTGCGTTGTGCGGTCTCGTGCGTGGCTGCTCTGCCTGATGATCTCGGCTGCTCCTCGAGGGTCCTCGCCGACTGCAGATTCGCACGCCCGAGCGATGTCAAGTCTCCATTCCTTTGGCAAGAGGTACGGCAGCCCCGACTCCCGACTTCGTGGGACCTCCAGCTGGCCTTGGGTCGTGCATGTCCTCCTACAGGCGGGTTTTGAATGAAGAATGAAAAATACCCTACAACAGCATTCAACAAAAACTCAGACATAATGGAAAAGTCGTTCTGCATATCATTTTTTCAATAATTTTCGAATATCCCTCCTGTAGAGTGACTGGCCCGACCCCCGACTTAGTGGGACCTTCGACTGGCCTCATGGCTTGGGGCACAGCTCGGGGATGTACGATGGGCGAGCGCCATCCCCGGAGGACCTCAGCAGAGCGTGCTTCCGCAGATACCCCCTGAGGGCGTATCCCCCAGTTCCCCCCTTTGGGGGGGAGGTGCGCTCGGGGACGGGGGGTGCCTCCCAGGTGGGGTCCGGGCAGATGGGGTCGGAGTATTGCACCACGTCGCCAATGGATCGCCAATGCATCGGCGATGCATCGGCGACGTGGGCGATGCATCGGCGACAATGTCGTAGAGAACATCGGGCTCCGCATCGAGCCACGTCGCCAGTGCACCAGCGATGCGGATCGATCCTCCGACCCTATCTTCTCCTACCCCATCTGGGAGACCTAGAAAAACAGGGGCGCGAAAACATGGATTGGCGCCCACAATGCGGCTGGTGCCGCCTCGTTCGGCGGCGGAAATCCGCGATGATTTCCTATGGAAACGAGACCCGTCGCTAATCCACTCCCCCATGATCCATGTTTGCGATCGCCTGAGAAAGACGGGGGGGCGGGAACTCGGCGAGGAAGGGGGGGGGTGGGACATGGGAAGGAGAAGGCCCTCTCGGAAGGCAGCGGGGCTTCTCGGCAAAGCCCCCCAGCCTTCGGAGAGGTTCTCTGCGTCTTCGGGGGAGGCTCGGGCAACTTCTCAGAATACCCGGGGACTTCCGAGCCTTCTGAGAGGGCCCGCCCCTCTCGCTTCCCCCCCGGGCTCGCTTCCGACCTGTTCCCCCCCCCCCCCCTCCGCGGAGGTGTCCGCACAGGAGCTCCGCGGAGAGCCCTGATGCCCCGACACGCGACGCGCAACAAACAGCCCATTGATCCGGAGCTCATCACGCAGACAGAAGCCGCAGGTCCGACGCGATGCGGTCGCCAAAAGGTGGGCCAACACGCTGAGCCAACACGCAACATGCTGACACTGACGTCTTGACCACGGACCGCGCTGCGCATCAGAACGGGCGTGTCGGGGCAGCCAATTCAGCAGGTACCGACCGTCCTGGCATCCCCATAGGCCTACGACGACATGTTCTTAGAACCCGAAAATGTTCCAATAACAAAAGCCATGCTCTTAAACCCGAGGTGTTTAGAACAAACCAACCACGGCAAGAGATGTTCCAAGACAAAACTCGTGCAAACCACAAACGGCTCTTAGAGCATGCTTTCGTGGGCCGACATGCTAGCCAGGACGCTTCGGCACTGCTCGAGCCAAGCCGCAGATCGCTCCGAGAGGCCCGCCCCCGACGGCCCGCCCCCCGCGGCCTCCGTCCCCCCCCCCCTCTCCCCGTCCCGCCTCCGCTCCCCGGCTGGCACCTCCGTCAGAGGCCCGCCCGGAGGGGGGGGGGGGGGGGCACGGTCCCCCTGGGGCCGTAGGCGGCCCGAGGAGGCAGGAGGAGGAGGAGGACGAGGAGGAGGAGGAGGAGGAGGAGGAGGAGGAGGCAGGAGGAGAAGGAGGAGGAGAAGGAGGAGGAGGAGGAGGAGGAGGAGGAGGAGGAGGGGTCGCCTATAAGCCCTTCGGAGAAACCCTCCAGGGAGGGGGGGGGGCTGGCAGGCGATGTCACTGCCGCTGCTGCACGGCTCTCTCTCGGGGCCGGCACGCCGACACACGCCTCCCAGGTGGGGGTCCGAGCAGGTGGGTTCGAAGGGTCGCGCCGCATCGCTCGGACCCCATCTGGGAGGCCTCTATAGAATCGAGGCAACCTCTGGGCCAGTACGCGCACGCTTTTGGCGGCGCGGCCCCGCGCACAAAGACAAACAGGGCGTCCAAAGCCGGAGACGAGAACTCGCGAGCGCGCGACCAGCGGCCGAGCCCACAAGCCGCTCAGAGCCAGCAGCGCCGCGGCCAGCCAAAGGTCATCTGGGCATGGATGACCGGGGAGGCAGGACCAGCACGGACACGCACACACAGTCGCGCCCTGACGGCACATTGGCAATGCCCGGCGAGCCTGCGCGCACGGACTGCGGCTGCCGAGACGGCGCAGACAGAGCCTCGGGGATCTGCCGTGGTACCCTGCGTTCCCACGTAATTAGTCCCGACCAGCGCCTCGAGGCGGTACTTCTTTGGATGTGGATTAGAATCGACCGACCGTCGACCGCCGACTCCCATAAACGGCCGCACAGGCGACGACGGGGACCGAACGAGGCCCCAGAAGACGAGCGAAGCAAGGGCCAGGGACAGACCACGGAGGGGGGACAATTCTGGGGGAGCCCTCGATGCGACTCCGCCAGTGGCGACTCGGGCGGCGGCATGGGCGCCTCGTCCTCCTCTGAGCTGCCCCCTCCACGCCGAGGCCCGCCGCTCCGCCCCCGCCCCTCGGTTTTCCAGCCCCCCCCCCGTCCCAGGAGGCGCTGGACGAGAAGGCCACGACGACGACGACGACGACGACGACGACGACGACGACGACGACGACGACGACGACGACGACGACGACGACGACGACGACGACGACGGCGCCCGCGACGGCGCCGACGGCAGCGACGACGGCGTCGACGGCGGCGACGACGGCGCCGACGGCGGCGGCCGCCGCGGCGACGGCACGCCGCCCTCCTCGCCGGTCGCGGCCGCGCCGCCGCGCCCCCGCTGCGGCCCCCGCCCTCCGCCGCGCGGCCCGCAGGAGCACGGGGCAGCCCAGCGCCGCGGCCGCGGCCCGCCAGCCGCGGCGGCCCCCGCGGCCCGAGGCCGGGGCCCAGGGCGCCGCGGCGGCGAGGCCCGTCGCCCGGGGCGGCCGCACGGCGGCGGGCCTCGGCGGAGGCGGCGCCCGGGGCCCGTCGGCGGCGGCGCCCGGGGCCTCCCCCGGGGCGGGGGCCCTGGCCGTGAGGCAGGCGGCGGCAGCGGCGCCGACGGTCAGCGCCATGCAAGCGGCCGCGCGGCGCCGCGGGCGCAGGCGGGGGCGGCCCCGCCCCGGCGGGGGGGCGGTCTGAGCCAGCGGCGGCCATGGCGCGTGCGGGAAGAGCCTGCTGAGCCCGCCCCGTCAGCACGTGGCCGGCCACGCGTGCCAGGATGGAGGCGGAGTGGGAGCCCGTGCGATGAGAAGCCCAGCTGCAGGGGATCTGGGGGCACAGCCTTCGTCGGCGTTGAGCCAGGGACACGCCCGACTTGCAAAGTAAAGCCCAGCCCTTAGTGGGCCCTAGAAACGACAGGGCCGTTTTTTTACTGGTCCCGTTTTGCTGTTCTAATTGCCGGTTCCGACGCCGTTTTTTACCGGTTCCGTCGCTGTTCTTTTACGGGTCCGGTTCCAATCCTGGAGTCGTTTTTGGTGCCGTTTCCGGTCGCCTTTTTTTGCCGTTCCCATTTTCAAGGGGCACTTTTGGGAAACGGTGAAAAAACGGCCCTGCCGTTTCCGGGGCCCACTAGGGCCCAGCCCCCGACCTCCTGCCCGATGCGGCCCCGACCGCGCCAACCGGGCCCTGGCTGTGCTGGTGTGCTCCCCTCCTCTGCACGGGGCCCTCGCGCCGGCGTCCTCTGCACGGGGGGAGCCGGGTCGAAACCTGCAGCAAGGACGGGCGGTGAGGACGTACAGGACGGCCCTGGACGCCGGAAGCTGGCACCTTTTATCGGGCGTTGGCAAATCTGGGTTTAGTGGGATCTGGTTTGAGGATGTGTACTGGGGAACGCCCCCCCCCCGCCCCATTCCACTGACCGGAACTGCCGTCACCGGAAAAACACCAGCTACGGCAAACCTGGTTTAGTGATTCCAATCCATATTTTGGGCTTCGGGGCCAAATCACTAACCGGCTCCCCTTAACCGGGGTCCTGGCTATACCCGATTTTAGGCGGCGACCTGCCAACATTCTGAAGGACTGGCCAGTGAAGACCGCGAAGGACGGGCCGCAGAGGCAAGGGCGCAAGGATACCCTGAGGACAGCCGTGCCTCCTTACCATGAGTTTTGACTGCGTGTTGGTGAAAGGCGGGTGTTGTACTCTCCCGACCTGCCTGCCCGCTTCACAGAAAGAGAGAGAGAGAGCAAAACAAAAGAGAGAACGCATGCGCAGGCGGAGGAGAGAGAAAGAGAGAGATCTCACACCCACAGACACCAAGGACCTCATCCGACCTTGGGAATTGGCTGGGCCCAGCGTGTCAAACTGGGGACGCAACTGGAGCTATGGTTAGGGCGGGCATGTCCTCCTAAAGGCGGACTTTGAAGGAAAGATGAACAATAGCCAAACAATGCTCAAACATAATCGAACGTTGTCGAAACATCGTCCCTCGAATATTATTGTGACTCGAATATTCCTATTGTAGAGGGGCATGCCCGACTTAACGCTACGGCCAACAGACCGCTTGGGGAGGAATATCCAACCAACGTTGAAGCGAGAGCGCCGCTCTGGGTCGCGCTGTGGAAGTGGCTCGTTAGCGCTGCTGGCAGTACACACACACACACGCAACGAACATGTGCAGCTAGCAAAAACCACTAAACGACAGAACATGCACCAACACTTATGAGTCAAACAAGGTACGGGCTGGATCTATGAGAGCTGCGAGATGCTCGTATATCCTCTGTGCCCGCCCAGAGTGCTGAAGACAACAGCGGGCGAACGACCATGCAGAAAGACAGCCACGATGGTGGCCGTGGCACAGGTCGACGTCACCATGCCATTCATACCTTCCGTATCAAAAAAACCTGTTGCCCGCAACATCCGTGCTATCGCTGGCAACGCATGCGGCCACTGAACCTCATCGACATCCGAACTCTCGTCGACGTCTCAGCGCGTGGGGCGGCCTTGGCAACCCGCGGCGCGCGGGCGGTCTGGGGCATGACCCGGCAACCTGCGTCCTGGGGGGGGGGCGGGCCAGAGTCCTCCCTCCTCCTGGAACATCCGCAATGGTGACCAATTCAGAGAGACAACGGACCAAAGCGGGCACTGCAAACATGCGTGAGGCGAGGCGACAACGGCTGTGTCCCGAAGAGAAGGAGCAGCCGAGTCAAGACGGTGGTCGGCCATTTCATACTACCAGAACGCGTGCCGTAGGCACAAGGCGACCTGCTGGATGACGGAGAACGAACGCCTTTTATGCGCTGCAGCTGGGCACCTTGGAACCAAAACGCACTTCACTGTATGCGTCAATGTGCATGCACAAGCTGTGCATTAGTGCAGCGCGAAAACACTTAGGCAGTATCAAGCTGACAGAAACCCGAATTCCAGACATGGAAAACCGATGCTTGGACCACAGACCAAACTCTAGATACCCAAAGGCATGGGGTATAATTGGGCTTGCCTGGCCATCTTAGCCTGCAGCTCTGCAAAACCCGCGATACGGGGACAGGGCACGGTATGGCCTAGTAGTGAAACGATCTCAGCAAAAACGGATACCATTGCACGCGTCGGCCAGGATGGGATGGATACCTCAAGAGCGGTCACCGCACGACTGGACGACTGGACTTCCATCCACCACCAATGGGGCCGCTCCCAGTTCGACAGAGGCGCAGACGGCGAAGAAGGCGGAGGAACTGCCTGTTGGGCGTTGTTTCAGCTGGGCTTCATTGCGGGGCTCCAGGGGCCCGAGGGTGGCCTGGCATTCCTGGCAAAGGGGCTGACTTGAAGAATTGCATGTCGAGCGCTCCAACGAATACAAGGCATACTGGAAGTTCAAACAGGGGCACGCCAGACAAGAGGTCGAAAAGGACTGCAACGCCATTAACACGTAACAGTGGTCGCAGACCCAACATACTGTTAGCAAACGTGGGCCCCAAACATTGCCTTTCTGAACTATGTGCGATACAATCTTGGATGTGCAATTCATGTGGTAACATGGAGCAGCGCAAAACAATGCAAGCCAATGCAGAGAAGTAACATGCACAGCAATCAAAGTGAATGCAAGCGACTGAGAGCATTGCAAACCAATGCGCCACAATTCATGGCAATGGGAAGCACTGCAATGCAACACGCTGCGTCTTTAGTGCAATGCCATGCGATTGCAGTGTAATGCGATTGAAACGCAGCGGGGGGGAGGACACAACAGGCCGAGGACGGGCCTTCCATTAGAAACAATGTGGCGGCACCGGGCGAGAACGGGGCCGGCAGGCCCGCAAACGGGCCTTGGGCCTTAAAAGAGAAATGCGGACCCCTACGAACAAACACAGTGTGTGAAATAATGCGACTTCGTTTGTCTTTCCGAAGAATTCAATGCGCGTCGATCAACCGCGCAAGCGATTGATTACCTTGGATACCAAACGGACATACGAGACACTCGATCGTGCAGCCTGAGATGTGCTGAGGCCGCACTCGCTACGACAACTGCGAGGATATGTCATGCATTATCGATCATTGTCGTTTCTGCCACCGTCACACCCGTTGTCGTTGTTGTCGCCGTCGTAGTCCTTCACCCAATCTCTAGCGCCATGCGGCGTCGGACAAAATCCTCCCTCTTCACCTGGTCGCTCTCCACCTCCTCGTTCCCCTTTTTCTCATCATCACCCTTCTCCTTCACATCCTCCGCCGCACCCCCCGCACCCGTCTTCGCGGCTTCCTGCTCCGCTTCACCCTCCCCTCAGTCTTGCCCTTCTCATCCTCCTCGTCTTTTATCCGCGACAACGCCGCAAGATACTAAGTGGAGTGTCCTTAGGGTCTCTACACCTCTCAACGCTGAATGTGGAATCTTCCGCTAGGGGCCCAATCATTTGTGTCGCGTCACTAGTATGAGGACCTCCTGAAGCGAGAGCGCCCCAAGAGGGACAACGAGGGTTCCCAAGGCTTCCCGAGACGGCCGAAGATGAATTCAAGACGGCCGAAGAAGCCCCAAAAGACGTCACAAGAGGGCCCCACGAGGACACTCACAAAAGTTCAAAACAATTGAATTGCCCAAACCACTGAACGGGTTTGATGTCTTCCTGGCTCTATCCCGGCCCACAATTCGAGAACGCACGAACACGCATACATGTAAACTTTCGGCGGGCCGCGCGGAATGCTTGGATCGGCGGTGGATCGCCCACCCTGGCGCGCGGAACGCGCCAGCGGCGGCGCCGGAGGCGCCGGCCTCCAGGGGGGGGGAGCAGCGCGGGTCTCAGAAATCCGCGCGAACCGCCGAAAGTTCATACGCATGCAATTCTTGACGGGGCCTAGTGATATACAAACAAGTGGCGCGCGTGCCGTGGCTCTTGCACAGGAAGGAAAGGGGGAGGAGGAGGAGGATGTGGAGGAGGGGAGGAGGGGACGAGAAATCAGACAAGGAGGGCCTAGCGAGGCCCGCAAGAGGGGCTTCAGAGGGCGAAGTTGAGGAGGCGCCAAGGGCCGTCCCCCACAAGATGGCCTCAAGGACCTGCAACATGCTCCCAAGAGACCTCCAACAGACGCCCAAGAAGCCCACAAAGTGGTCTCAAAAGGCCCGCGGCAACCACAAAACAACATTGAAAAAGGCTTCCTTGAAGCCTCCAAGGTCCAAAGAGGGTCCCGATCAATTTTGGGGCAAACCCGGCTGCTGTATGCTCGCGGCGCACAATGCCACATGTTTCGGCCTTGCACGGTGTCCAGAGCAGTCGTTTTGCGTACAGAGTCTGGCTGGTGGGTGGGTGGGATGCGGAAGGGGCGCGGGTCGGAGGGGGCGCGCTGACTGGTAGGTGGGAGGATGCGGAGGGCCATAAGTCACAGGTCGGGGCGAGGCGGAGGCGTGCCGAAATCAAGGGGTCAGGGCGGAGGGGGCGCGCTGGCTGGTGGGTGGATCGGCACGGGAGAGGCGCGCGGGATGGGGGGGGGGGCGCCGTCTCGAAATCAAGGGGTCGGGGCGGAGAGGGCGCGCTGGCTGGTAGGTTTGGGGATGCGGGGGGGGCGCGCGGGATGTGGGGGGGCGGTGCCGCGACGAAATAAAAGGTCGGGCGGAGGGGGCGCGCTGACTGGTGGATGGGCGATGGAAAAGAG